ATAGGAAACATCGTTATACGGGGCATATTATTTTCTAAAAAAACATCGTTATGCGAATTCATCGCTAAACGAGGCAATCGTTAAGCGAGGCACCACTGTACATACATTTTATAATAGTACAAACAACGAGCTGTAAAAGCACCACATTGCTATTGGTCACTTGTACTTTAGGACCTCAGCCCCGATTGGACTTCAGGTGTTTCTGCAGTTGAGCTATTGGTCAATTGTACTCCAACTTTCGATCCTGCTCCTGGTTGCATCTGAGATGCTAACTTGGCCTGTCAGAAGAATATATCCATTTTATGTCCTGACTTCATCTCCGGATACGCCATGCAGTCTGGGTGTAATGACAACTATCCTGTTTTCTTACTGATATGTTTAAGCATGTCACCCATCAATCACAGTGACAGATAATCTCTCCCTCTTCCCTCCCTCCCTCATCACAACAAAACCATGCTGATCACACTATCTCCTGAAAAAAGATGCAGTCTGAATGACAACTATCCTGTTTTCTTATTGATATGTTTAAGCATGTCACCCATCAATCACAGTGACAGATAATCTCTCCCTCTTCCCTCCCTCCCTCATCACAACAAAACCATACCATGCAGTTGTAATGACAACTATCCTGTTTTCTTATTGATATGTTTAAGCATGTCACCCATCAATCACAGTGACAGATAATCTCTCCTTCTTCCCTCCCTCCCTCATCACAACAAAACAAAACTGATCACACTATCTCCTGAAAAAAGACAAAAGCTGTTCTCATAGCTATAAATACTATCCAACAAACACCAACAGAGCATGGACAGAGTTCCTACTCCAGTCCTCTGAAGATGCTGGCCACAGAGACTGGCAAAACGTCAGGAAGAACAACCTTCAGAATACGGCCAAGGAGCCCGAAAAACCCACAACAACCATGATCTTGGTAATGTTTCTTCCTGAGTTCTCTGTCCTGCCCTTTGTCATTGTCGTTTAGTCATGTCCGACTCTTTGTGACCCCATGGACCAGAGCATGCCAGGCCCTCCTATCTTTCACTGCCTCCCGGAGTTGTGTCAAATTCATGCTGGTAGCTTCGATGACACTGTCCAACCATCTCATCCTCTGTCATCCCCTTCTCTTGCCTTCACACTTTCCCAGCATCAAGGTCTTTTCCAAGGAGTCTTCTCATGAGATGGCCAAAGTATTGGAGTCTCAGCTTCAGGATCTGTCCTTCCAGTGAGCACTCACGGTTGATTTCCTACAAAATGGATAGGTTTGTTCTCCTTGCAGTCCAGGGGACTC